GGAAGGATTGTTAACAATTTACTACTAAGTTTTTTCAGATACTTTCAGATATTTCAGTGTGAGAGATTTTTCAGAGATGTATCTGAGAGTGATCTTCAATGAACATTCTTCATTCTTGACTGATTTCCCTCCAAAAAAATGCTCTAACCCTGCACACTACACTCCAACAAATCACCCTTTCTTTAGGTCAATCATTTTTTTAAGGTACATTTGAAAGGCATAGTTACAAATTTAAAAATAAATCCATTGACTAGAGCCTGAGTAGAACAGGACAGTCGCTGCAATTTCCACAAAAGTACAGAATTAGAAACCTAGAATCAGTTTAACTAAGTTCAACTCCACCAGAGTCCCAGCAGCATGGACAGGGATGTTGTACACGTGTAACTTACCAACACCCCTCCAAGACTGTCCTGCACGTCACTTCAGCTACAAAAAGTACTTCTGCAGTCTCACACAGGAAATTATAAACGTTAACAACCACATAAGTATGAAATACGCTAAATGCAAACTCAAAAGGAAATGCTTGGCAGCTTTTTCTTTTGACTTATTGTATCTTTTTTCCTATTCTTCTGCAATACTTTCCATCCCCCCTCGCCAAGTATGTTACAAACTTGCTTTTCAGTCCCAAACACCAAGGGCAGAAAGCCCAGACCAAACATTTCTTTGGAAATTTGTTCTAAAACAGCTAGGTAAGTGTGAGGAAAACAGATTTTGTATGCAGAGTTCTTGGTCTCAGTGCTTTTCACACTCGCCACGTGGCTGGGTGCACCCCCAGGAGCAGCCTGAGTGATTTCAGGGAGCCACATCCACGCAGGTGGCTGAGCTGTAAAGCCAGGCTGCGCACCAGCGGTTTGCTGCCCCTCACGGCAGGTCAGGAAGCAGCTGCCCTCCTGCACCCTTCCCACTGGAACTCAGCACTGAAGGGACTGCTCTCCTCATCTTCCTATTTCTACATTTTCTCCAGAAGGTAATAAGCAGACCAAAGCATATGGGTTAGGCATTTTTGATAATTTGTCTGACTGCAACATACTCCAAATAGGTTAAACAAGTTACTTTCCTATATCACTCATAGTTCCAGTAACAAAACGTTTGTTTCTATTCGGGAAACAGACGCTTAGTGACAAACCATTGGTTACACAGTGCAAAAGTGAGAAAAAAATGCACCATAAATCTAGAAAGCCAGAAAGCAGCACAAGTGACCTCCTCAACCTGCATCCCCTGGAAAAGCATGAGGTGCAGCCGAGCTGGCCCCACACAGACAGAGCAGGGCCAAAGCCACGGGAGAAGAAAGGCAGCACATAGCAGGGAGCTCCAGTGACAAGCCAGCCTCACGCAGGCCTGCCACCAGAGCAGGGCTTTAGCTCAGGCAAAATGGAAGACTCAGATGAGTCCCTCTGAAAGGAATACACTATAACCACAGTTACACCCAGAAACTACCCAAAAATACTTCTACTAAGAATGGTAATTGACAACAGTTTCATTTATATTTTGATCTGTCTCATTCACCCATCATCTGTTCTACAGCTGGGGTCTCAGGAAATGAATAGAAATTTAAATGCAAAAAAATTTAAACTTCGGCAACAGTGACAGATAAGGACAAAGAAATTATTTCAAAAACACAGAGCTTTTTATTAAAGTATTTTAAAAGACTGGATCAGCCTGAATGTTTTTGAAGAGAGTTCTACAATTGCACAGATTACAAGCAATAGAATTTTGCTTTTTCTATTATTTGTTGTTTATCAAAATTGTTAACTGCTACTTAGAGCAGCTGTATTTCCACATCACTTAAAATTGCTTCTCCTTTCTAGTAATTTAGTTCCAATGATTCATGTGGTTGCTACAGTGATAACTCATTGAGAAAAAACATTCTATAGGTAGAAGAAGAAAAAATGAAAATGAAACAGCACTGTAGAAGCCTGCTTCATTAAACTCTGAAACTTAAACTCTCATTGTTTAAAGGAGAATTATTTCCCAATGCTATTTGCATATTTAAAAACTACTGCAGGAATGCACGATTATGTACACAGAACTTGCCAGCACAGCTCAGTTCTTATTGTTCAAGGGCTGCTCCTCAGCCAACTTCTTCATTTGATGGGAAGTCATTGACACGAACTGCAAACGCATTTCCTCACCAGATCTTTGGTGTGTCCATGTTTTAGGAGAGGGGATCATGACAGAAAAGCATGTGATTTCAGTGAGACTATTTTCAAAGCAAGTTTAGAAAAAACCCATGACTACACATTTGCAAAAGTGTGCCTGAACTCATAGCCTTTGCCACCACCTCAAAAATTAGTTTTAAATACCAAAGTCTCCAACTACAAACTGATTTGGCATATTTTAAGTTAACAAATCTAGTGATACAATAAGCCATTATTGCTTCAGATTTTGTAATTCAGAGATTTCTTTATCATCTACTGGAGGGTGAAAAAAACCAGTATGCCTTGCTATGAAATAACTCATCATACTTGTGATGTGAACCTTTATACTCATTTTTATCTAATCACATATCAGCACCTCAACAGCTACAATCCACTGTCCCTTCACAAGCACTTTAAGCAAGGAAACAGACCGTAGGTTCTTGATTTGGGGCCCAATTAAATCTCAAAGCCAAGAAATATTAATATGAACTTCACGAGAAATAGACAAACAAGAAAGCAGCTGAAGCTGCCTGTAGTAGCATGTTTTGAAAGATTTAAATAGTTCCCCATGAAAACAGGGATTCAGTGACTCAGGAACTCTGATTCACCCATGTCCTCCCAGTTATCACCACAACCATAAGAAAGTAACCTGTGACATTTCTATTCATTACATACCTCCCAAGAGTTTTACTTAAGAGCTCTGACAGGTATACTGACAGGAAGGACAGAGGCTACACCCTCCTGCTCAGCAAGGTCAGGAGAAAGCTACAGCTCAGCTCTGCTACAAGGAACACAGAGCAAGAAGCTGCTTTATGTCCACACTACCCCCTGCAAGAACACAGGACTGTCATGACCTTGCTCTACATTAGTGTCTCTATCATCCCTCAATAAAACCACTGCAGTAACCTTCATTCAGAAGGCTTCTACTCTTTGGGTTGGGTAATTTAAATGAACATTGAGAATAACCAAAACTGTAACAGCAAATAGTGATGACTAATAATGAAATATATGAACTTTTTCAGAAATACTACAGGAATTCTGCCTAGCAATTTTAACCATTTCCTACAAGGTAGTGGTTTTATTCAAAGGTAGTAGTATCAGACTGGAAAAAAGACCATGAGGTACTAGAAGACCCTAACAACAGATCTTCTCCAGTTTCTTTTCCTTGAAGGAAAGTAATCAAGAGGGGCAAAAGGAGAATGATACAAAGTGAATTCAAATGAACTATATGACTTACCTTGAAAAAACAGCAGCACACTTCTGCTCACAAATTTTAGTCACAACTTCTTGTTTGCTTGAGTGTATTTAGAACTTTAGCAGGTATGAGTAATTAAAATAATGCAACTACTGGTATAGTTGTGTGGTTAAATTATGCCAATCTACAACTGTGTTGCCACCAAAGGGGATGGACCAACACTGAATACAGTTGTCTCAGAATGTATACACACTAGCAAGCACCTCCAGCTCAGGACAAAGTTCTATGAAAGAGCTAAGCCAATGTAAAAGTTGCCAGCTGCCCTAAGGGAGGCCTCATTAAGGGAGGCCTTCCTCTAGCCTTGCTTCTGGCAGTGAAGTTTCCTCTCTCTACTCCCCATAAGCTTTATTAGGTTTCACAGCCACTGAGATGCTGACACAACGCACTAACCTGGCAGAGAACCATCCAGTCTCCTCTGCCAGGGCACCCAGCACTCTGAAGGATCTAACAACACACGTCAGAGTCACCAAAAAACCCGTGGGAGAAGCAGCCAGCGACAAACTGGCAGCAGAGGCAGGAGCAAAGGAGAGAAGAACAGGAACTCCAACTTCTGCCAAGGGTAAGCCATTCAACCAACCTTCCTTCTCCAACTTCCTCTACATCCCAGATACCACAGGATTGCTAAAGCTGATACAAGGAGGAGGCGTGAACGTACAGCCAGAGAGCAGAGGAAGAGCAGTACTATTTCCCTCAACATCCAGAGCTCACCACAGAGCCACAGGCACCTGAGATATGAGCTCGCCATGGGACAGGACGGGCACAGCAGTGACACATCATGTCACGGAGCTGTTTGTGTCTCCACCATCGAGCAGGGTAATACCAGGCACAGAAACCGGGTGTATGTAGGCACAGACCAGCCACACATCCCAAAGAGAGGCACAATTATGTTGATTAGATACAACGGTGTAAAATACACATTTGGGTAAAAACATAAGGAAAGACTGAGGGAGATGATGCCTGACATAAGCAGAAATAACCCTACAGCAACGATAGACAACTGGTCACTCGACTGGGGAAAAACAAAGGAGTGTGCCTTGCTCTGACAACAGGAAGTAAGACGATACCGAGCTTGTTTGCTACTGGCACCCCAAGAGTGGCCACACCGAACACGGACCACGCAGGCAGGAAACGCTGGGAACTGAAGTGTGAGCACAGCTCTGAAGAACCGAAGACAGACCACCAAAGAGTTGAGCTCCTGAGCCTGAGTCTCAGCTGACATTGCTTCGGCTGACCAGCATTCCCTGCACCAGCCGCCCGCCACCATTGACCCCCATCTCCTCCAAGGCGTGACCCCAGCACCGCTCCCTGCTCACCGCGCTGCCTCCGCCCGGGCCCAGACCCCGCTCACTGCGCAGCCAGTCCCACGTACCGCACACGCTGCCCCTCTCCCTTGCACTTCCCACACGCCCGTCCCCTTCCTCCTCAGAGCCCCCACACCGCGGCAGCAGCCACACGGCCCCTGCCTGCCCCTCCACGCAAGGCCGGCTGCCCACAGCTCGCCAGCACCTGTCACCCCCAGCGCCCGCACAGCCCGGCCCGCTCCGCACACCCCCGGCCCCGCTTCCTGTCCCCCGGCACGACCCCGGCCCGGCCCTTCTCGGCGGCACCTGAAGCGCGGCGAGTCCTTCAGGCACTCCTCGAAGTCCACGGTCACCTTCATGGTGGCGGGGCGCGCCGCTGCCTCCGCTGCTGCGGCTGCTGGCGGTGGTGGCGCGGCGAACCCGGGGCCAGGCGAGACCGGGCCAGGGCCAGGGCCGGCGGGGCGGGGCGGGGCCCTGTGCCCGCCCCGCCCGGGCGCGACTGACGGCCCGGGCAGCCAGCAGCGACCGCCCGCGAGAGAGGAGGGGCGCGCCGGCCAATCACAACGCGAGAGGGGAGGGCTCAGTAGGCAGAGCGCCCAATAAGCGCGGCCACTGGGCACATACAGCCAACCGCCGGCGCCGCAGCGATTGCTCCCGCCCCAGCGAGCTCAGAGTGACAGCCGGGGCCACCAATGGGCAGGCGGCCGCTCCGATCGGCAGCTCCGTCGCCGCCGCTGCCCGGATCGCTGCGGCCGCAGCCCGGCCCGGCGTTCGCCGCCGTGACGCTGCCTCGGGCGGGCCGGGCCGTGTGGCGCCGGGCCCTGCTCAGCCGGTTGTCGGTACCTGCTTGGTGATTTTTAAATTACAGCTCTTCACTAAACGGGGGGATGTCTCCCTCGGGGCTGAGACACGCGGGAGGCCCGCGCGGGCCCCTGAGCAGTTGTACCGGGGCCAGAGCGGCCGCTGCCGTCAGGCGGGCCCTGCCCCTCAGCCCGGCCCAGCCAGCCGCGCCGCGGAGCGGAGCGGGGCACCAGCGGGAAGAGAGCTCCGGGGCCGCGTGCTCTCCTGTGTGATTCACTTCTAGACAGAGGAAATAACTCGTGGGGGAGACTCAAAGCAGTCTTTGAAGGAGAAACGCAAACCGCAGGTTTTCCTCTCAAGGACTATCAAGTGTGCATGCTTGGGTTTCTTACCGAACCTTTGTCCGAGAATGTTTTTTGAACTAGAGCGGATTATATTTTGAAGTAGAGTGACACAGAGTGAGCAGGACCATGTTGCAGTCTCCAGTTTGCAGTGAAGGACAGCAGAACATTGTAGATTTCTGATCGTTTAAGAGAATACAGAAAAAGATCTCTTAACCAGTTCTCTTAACCAGTTAGGTGCTGCTTAATGTTCCCAGATGTAAAACTGACAGACAGGAGCACCAGCCATCCCCACGCCTCCTCAAAAGCAGCGGCAGAGAAGTCGAAGTGGCTATCCAAGTTAAACTTGCCGAAGATGAAGCAGTCACACGTCACGGGCTCCATCCCGCAGTCCCAGGGACGGAGCTGAGAAGCTGGCAGAAGTAGATGGTGCTCACTCTTGCCTCCTGCTGGGGTCTGAGGAGCTGCCACACCTGCTTCCAGCGAGCCCTTGTCCTCTGCAGCTTTCACACCCTCCCTCACCCCAGCATCTGCACTAAGTTTCACCCCTTGTTTTATCTCTTTTGTTTTTTTCATATTCTTCCCATTCTCTCTCCCCCACTTTCTTTCAGTGTTACAATGAGAAACAGTCAACATGGCAGGAGGGGAACATAACTTCTTTCCAAGAAGCTGACCGTCTGCTGTACCCTTACTGTCCCTTCCTCAGTTAAGGTGTCCTTTCACAGTAGCAGAGGGACACTTGGTTCAGTCAGTTGTGATTTAGGATGTCAGGTTTTTTTTCCTAAGACTAGTGAAATGTCAGAACCAAACTACAAGTTACACAGATGTAACAACTGTATATTTTTGTGAGCTGTCCCTCACCAAAACTACCTACCACTATTTTGATTAGGCATTCAAGTCACACATGTTAATATTTGTATCACTGGGGCTGCAATTATGTTGTGAAATCCACTTTTCAACTGAAGTATGAAATTGAAAAGAGCCCAGCTCTGTTTTGAGGAAGAGTTTTACTTCCTAAGAAGTATCTGCTGTTAGTCATTTTCCATTACTCCATGCTTGTGAGTGATGACTCAGTGCTGACCATGAAGACACAGATCAGTTGTGCTTAAATACTACAACACACAAAGAAAAACACCTTGAAAAATGCAACCTTTTCTGTGGTACTAACCTTAGGTTACCAGATGTATACTCTCAGGTCTAGGCAAGCCAGCAAATCTGATTGGATGAACAAACCAATTTACATCAGTTATAATAAATGAGAATAATGAGGAAATTACAATATTGGTTTAAGAATTTATCTATGAACACACCTGCAAATTTTAGCTGCCAGTTTCTTCTGAAGAGCTCCAAGAAGCCAAACATTATTAGTGTCATAAGGTAGTAATGAAAACAATGGTTTTATTTATGTTGTGACACTTAACACTGGTTTCAAACAAAATAATTACATGGGTAAGGTGGCACCATAATACCACAAAAAAACATGTTACAGAGACAAAGTTCTGATAAGATGTACAAGTTTCACATGAGAGAGTGAGCTGTGGAAAAAGTATCTGTGGTTTCCATTAATTGTACAAGTTGGTGGGAAAGAAACTGTGGACAGAAAAAATAAAACCTATACACATGAGTTAAGGCTCTTATTTGTAAGTGATCTTCCTACTGGAAGCATATTGAAAATGCTTTCTCTAAAGAGGATGCAGCTTGAGGACTTAAACCTGTGCAAGAAGATTCACAATGACGGTGCTGTGGAGCTCACTGTCCACATAAGTAAGCGCTGTGTTGTTTCCTCCACACCACTCTGTATTGTACACTTGAGTATTCACCATATGCACCTAAAGACTGGGATGTGCAAGCAAGCCAAGTCCTCATCAAATGCAAAAAGAGAAAACACATTTCTTTGCTTGTCCCCACTCAGCAGGGAACTCTGACATTTCTCAAACAGAGGGAAATCAGACATCCTTTTGTAAAAAAGCTGTATGGAGTTTCTGGAGCCACTGCAAAGTAAAACTTGCCCGATTTAGCTTTTAAAATGCATCAAGGTGTAAGCAGAGAAAACCAAGTAAACCAGCCTTTCAGTTAGAAGCAATGTCAGGGATATTGGGTTGCACTTCTGCTGAGGAAGACAAAGAAGCACCGTGAACAGAATCTTTGTGAGCACTGAGGAAAATGCAGAGAACAGAGCCTTTAAAAAAACCCCTAACTAAATCGAGTTTCAAAGTAGCACCAAACTTGGAATTCAGGTGCTTGGTGGCACAGGAAAAAGGGAGATCACCCAAGCAGTTCAAAATCACCTGAGTGATGAAGGGACCTACTATACATTATGTGGTTCATTTACAACCATCGTCATGCATTTGTGTACCTCCCTCAAAGATACATACTAATTTCATTTAGGATTTTGGAAGCCATGACAAGAAAGGTTCTTAATTGGAAGTTAGCAAAGTTTGTTTGTTAAACAAAATGCTTTCTAGACCTTGTAAAGTACAAAGAAGCCCTGGTGAGCACCAAATGGCCTTGGACACAAGAAAGTGGGGGGTTAAGGAGGGCAGGACATTAGCTCAGGTAAGATCTGCTGCTGCTGCTGGATTCTACCTTAATTGCAGGTACAAAGTACCTGTGGGTACTCAGCACAAAGTACAAGTGACATGTTCCACAGCTCACAGAGCACACTGGTGTCACCTGCACACACTGCTCACCACGTCCATGCTCAGGCTGACAGCGACAGGGCTTTGCTGAGCACTGCCATGCTCTCAGCAGGATTTCAGTGCCCAGCTGGGGCAGGCCAGGCCAGCAGCTACTCAGTCTGAAATACAGCCCAGTGCACACAAGCCAACACTCTGAACACTGCAAGCTGCTTTATAAAAGGTACAAACCTAAAGTTCTGAAATCCTATTCTTAGGAGCCAAACTGAAAGCTACAGTAAGTGACTTGACGAGTCAGAAGTGTCTAAATGCTTACCCTTTGCCCCTGTTTACTCTATGCAAGTGACCACATTTAATACAAGAAGAAATAGCACTCTGCATGTTGAAAAACTAGCATTACCACACTGGCCAGAATCAAGAGTTCAACTCTTGTGAGAAGACCCTACTAATCTCGATTCAGGACCTTAGAAATTAACTAACCCAAAACTGACCACCCTGTTACCTGCTGAGGAGAGGAGATAGTTGGGAAAGGCACACTACAAAACACACTTAGCACAACTCACAGATATCTTTGGCAATGCATCCAGTCTAATGAATCATTCCTGTAAAAATCTCAAAGGACAGCATCCTATTGCCTTATTCACTCTCAATATTTCTGGGACTCCAGGAAAGCTCACACTTGAGAATGCATGTAACTGTAAAATAACTTTCATTCCTTTATTCAAACTTCACATATACAGTGGAGAAAAAGACATTTTAAAATAGATCCATATAATTATATGGATTTTTGCAACATATCAAATTCAGATCAAAATTAAGATATACACTGTATTTCATAACCAAGCTAAAGCTTAAGTGTGTACTTTGTTTGTGTAATAAAACCAGGAACTACTCTGAATACTGGAACATTCACCAGTCAAATTCCACGCAGTGGGAAGTTTTTACAGCAATTTGGAGGTGCAGAATCCCTCTTTACAGCTATACAACCACACAGTAAACAAGTATTTGAATTAGGCAGTTTCCCTTCTAGCTTCCAAAAAGCCTTCATTTTACAAAAGCAGCTGCTGCAAGTTGCAATGGACACAGGAAGATTTAGACCAGTGGTTTTCAGTATGGAAGTTGCCAACCCCAAAAGAGTAGATCAACAGTAGTTATCTTTAATAAAGAACAGCCAGAGCCTAAGCTCAGCACATCTTCAGTCCTGATGTATATTTCCTCGTGGCTGGGTGTTTTTCCTCAGGTGCTAACAGCGCAAACAACTGTTCATGCAACTGGAAAGAACCAAACGTTTGAAACAAGAGCCAGAAGAGTAACAGTGGATGTGATTTTAAGAGAAAAGCTGGAGGGAACTTTTGTGTTCTCACAATAAGCCAGAGAGAGCTCCACAAACCAACCAGTCCTGATGGAAGAGGTTATGACAGTTAAATGCAAAGTTCAAATTAGCCGTTTCCAGTGTAAAAACACTCCCTCCACTAGATGTTAGTACTGCTTTAGTCAGAAACTAACAACCGACTGCAAACACCGCTCTTAAGAAATAACACAGCTCTTGTTCTAAAGACTGGGAAAGTGCAGGCAAAAACATACTGAAATCTAGATTAACAGGTCAACACTTTACAAAAAAAAAGTTGTAGGACTTGAATAATCCCTTTTTAAACTGCTTAACACATCTGATA